CTGCTGCGCCAAAAGTGGGCCCCTAAAATTTTAACCTTAAATTCTTCTTTTCTGCAATTCGGAACTATTTTAACATTCCAGCTGAAACCATTGGTGAAGAAGTTACCTTTAGACATCAACACACTCTCAATGCTTAACTTGCTTTTCTTTCTTTGAGCTGCAAATAAAACTCTAAAACTGTCAAGAATTTGCTCTTTCGTAGGTTTCACACTCAGACATGTCCGCCATGTAAAACTGCCCACAACACTGACTCTTAATTGTGACACAACTGATTAAATTCCATCCTGTAGTTGTTTCCTTAGGAAGGAATATGCATTCACTAAGAACACAAGACAGCACAGAGAAAATAGAGAAAGGAAAAAACAGAAAGCTCTGCTAGTCCACCTTAAAATACTGTCATTACAGTATTTAGGAAGGTCCGGATAAGTGTCATTCACAAGTGCTAACCCAGTGTGATTCATAGAACAGAGTGATGTGAAATACTGTTTTAACATTTTAGATCAATTTCTTTTTATTCTCTCATTTAAAATAGGTCTCCCCAATTTCTTTTTTCTTTTTTTTTCTTTTTTTTTTTTTTTTTGGAGAGGTTTTTGCTATAGGGCGCGTGCGCTCGCCAGACAGACAGAGAGAGACAGAGAGATAGAAAGCAGGAAATCACCCCCCAGGGGGGATGGTCACGCCGCAATCCCTTCTCCTCCATTCTCCTCTCGGGATCTTGGGCACGCACGCACACGCGCCCGGCATGAGTTTAAGCCACCGGGTCTGGGACTCGAACCGCGGTCGACTACGTGGGAGTCCAGCGACATAGCCATTACGCTAACTGCTGGTCCCCGGTCTCCCCAATTTCTAATGCAAGACTTATCACAAAAAAACAGCAGTGAGTTATACAACTCTATCTCCATTTTAGTTTTGAAAACTAAGTTCCAATAGTATTAGATTGTTGGAAAAGTCATCACGTATTTTTTTCTACATTCTTCTATGCAAAATGTGTCGTGACTTCTCTGACAACCCCATAGTTTCAGCCATTAGTGTTTAAGCACAGCTAAAGAAATGACAGATATCATATCATCAACTAAACTATTCTCTGTTTAACTACACATCCTTCCAACATGTACTCCAAGTCTCACATTTTCACTACCCTCATCATCGTCCATGATCTTAGTGAGAAATGGACCAAATGAGCACCTGAACAAAATCAACGAACTTTGGGTCACCGTCAGGCATCACTGGAGAATGAATTTCTAAGTGATGTGTACTTGATGATGGATGGACCAACCTAGCTTTATTTCCAGATTCTCAAGTTTGTCTCTCCACTCCGCAAATGTAGCAGCTGGCAACTTTGAGTAATTCGCACAGGGTCTCCTTTTAACTGCAGAGCATAATTAGAAATGCAGAGCCTTTTTCTTTCTGCACCATATCGATCATTTAATCCGGTTGAAAACCCTGCCTACAGCAGGGGCCCCAGAGAGTCAGGTGGAGCCCACCAGCACCTCCGTGGGGATGCCCTGCGGGGCATATTTACATGAAGTCCCCTGAATCTCTTTCCATTGTGATGCTATGTTTTTTAGTTCATATCTTTTATTTTTTTATCTTTGTAATTATAAGGAAAACTAACCTTTTTTCTCTTCTTCTTTCTCTTCTCTTTGCAGGAGGCATTGAAATTTTCAGCAGAGAACTTCCAAGGACATATTGCAGGATTCTGTAATAGTGAACATATGGAAAGTATTAGAAATATTTATTATCTGTAAATACTGTAAATGCATTGGAATAAAACCGTCTCCCCCATTTGCTCTATGAAACTGCACATTGGTCATTGTGAATATTTTCTTTTTTTTTTTTTTGCCGAGGCTAATCCAATTATTATTATCACACTTACCATAATTTATTTCATCAACTGATGTATTTATTTTGTAAATGTATCTTGGTGCTGCTGAATTTCTATATTTTTTGTAACATAATGCACTTTAGATATACATATCAAGTATGTTGATAAATGACACAAGAAAGTGTCTCTATTTTGTGGTTGATTTTAATGAATGCCTAAATATAATTATCCAAACTTAACTTTTCTCTATGCATGTAAAAATAGCAGTATTTTAAATTTGTAAAGAATGTCTAATAAAATATAATCTAATTACATCATGATTCAGAAGGTGAATTTTGTCTTTTTAAGATTTCTAGCATAAGAAACATAATGTACTGTACAAAGGGACTTTAAAGAGTTCATAGTAAAAATGGGGACCAGCGGGTGGCATGGTGGTTAAGGCGTTGGACAATCCCACATGGCCAACCAGGGTTCCAGTCCTGAATCTGGTGGCTTGCTTTCTCACTTCCTCTCTCTTTCACTCTCACCCTCTGTAACTCTCTGGTCAAACTAAAAAATAAATGAATGAATAAATAAAATAAAATAAATAAGTATTTTAAAAAAATAGAATCAAAATACAAGTATATTTTGGTACAAAAACATTTTTCCATTGAAACTTTTTCCCCTGTTAGTTTAGTCATGATGCGTGCTAACAGTGTACAATATGTTTTTTTCCAAAGCATACATCATTGCATATGATCAAGTCAAAGAAGTTCGTATGCATCATCCTCAACAGATAACTTTCCATTGTTGTGTCAACGTTTTTCAACCTCCTCCCTCTTAGTGCAAAAATATTTTGAAATCTAGGCATAGTTTTCTAGTAATGCACATTTTCATGAACTTTTTAAAGAATCTTTATAATTTCTTTTACTCTCTTTGAATATCATCCTAAGCTTACTATGTTTATATTGGTACAGATATCAACATTGGCACATTAGCTTTTCTTCTTTATTCATGGTAGAGTAGTCATGTACACATGAAAGTGAGAGAAAAGCGCTCTCCCCACGGGGTCTGATCACTCTATGATCCCCTCGCTTCAGTCCTCCAGCCTTTTGGGTCCTGGGCACTCATGCGCATGCCCAGCATGTTTCAGGCTGCTTAACCCGAAGATTAGAAACATGGCCGCCACGTGAGATCTACTTTCTCCTGACTAACCCACGACTGCTGCATCACCGAGCTGGCCCCACATTCACTTTTAGTTAAAAACCACTTAAAATGGATTTTGTTCAATGTTCCAGTTCTAGTCGGGAGAATAGCTAAGTGACTTAGACATCGCTTTTTAAAGTGTATGTATTAATTATTTCTTCCATAAGCAAGAAAGACAGAGAAAGTAAGAGAGAGGGGGAAACAGTGCTCCCAACAGATTTTTCTGTGCTGCGATCCACTCTCAGCTTTTAGCCAGCCCCAGGCAATAGGCAAACACATGCCCACTGTACTCAGGAGGTCTCCAGCCTGAGCTGGGAACGCCCGCATGTGGGATTGCCTCCCAGAGCATCGTGTTCCACCACTGCACTACCAGCTGGTGAGACATCATTTTATAAAGTACATTCAATTTGAAGTGAAGATGGGGAGAGCAGAGAAGAAGCAAAGAGGAGTCAGAAGAATGGGTTAAAGAAACTTGGTCCAGGGACCAGGAGGTGACCATTACAGTGCTGGACTCCCACATCGCCAACTGCAGTTCAAGTCCTGGACCGAGTGTCTTAAAAATCACACTGGGCACATGTGAATAAGTGCCCAAAATCCCAGGAAGAGAATCCAGAAGGGATTTCAACGGGCCATCCCCTGCAGGGAGTGATCTCTCTCTCTCTCTCTCTCTCTCTCTCTCTCTCGTGAGCATACATGCTTTCTGGCAAAAACCTTAAAAACATAGAGAAAGAAAGAGAGAGAGAGAGAGAAGAGAAAAAAAGAGAATAAAAAACTTAGTCCAGAGAGTTGGCTGGAGTTAAAGAAAGGGAGAAGAGGTGAATCAGAGACAAAGGCCTTGTGTAAATTTAATCAATATAAAATTGAATTTGAGAGAGGCCTGGTAGGTGGCAAGGTGGTTAAGGGCGCTGGACTCCTACATAGCCAACCATGGTTCGAGTCCCAGACCTGATGACTTTCTTTCTCACTTTCTATCTCTGATCAAATTTAACTAACTAAATTGAGTAAAATAATTCTTTTTAAAAATTTAATTTGAGAGCTCATGTTCTTAATGACAACCCAATAATAATCATAAAAAAGCTGCTTGAAAATTCTACCTCATAAGATTTCCTGCCAGAGAAAGGAGAGACTGAGATGTGGGAGATGATAAGTCGCAATTTGAAAGCCCTCAAAGGAGAGGATTGCTCTCCTGGAATACCACAATTCTTAGAACTCTGGTTGCAAAAAGTCCGGACGTAATGCCATATGGAATCCTCTTTCCATTTTGAATGGCTCTCTAGGTGTTTCTACCACTATTTTCAGACAAAAACACAAATACATTTTCTTCTACAGAACTTTCTTTAACTGTAGCTAAGGACACTTCAGTTAAAAAACAAGCAAAAAAAAAAAACTATGAATCAAAAAAGTATCTATTTAGGAAGTGTTCTATTTATGCACAATATCCTGTTTGATATCCATTTTTAGGGAGGTGCAAAGAAATAAAATGCTCTAACTACCTTCAAGATACCCACTCCGGTGGGTGGATTATACAAACATATACATGAAACCAAATGCTATAGTCAAGAAACTGCAAAATTATTCAAAATTCTATGGATATTTTTAAAAGGGAAAGAAAAAACACAGAGGGAGAGATTAGTATGGGCCGGGTGTGAGGGGGATAATGTTTCTTGGAGGAATTGTCTAAAATTGAACTTGTTTATATTTTCACTTGAGTCAGAAGTTTAAAGCCAACACCATAAATCTATGTAAAACATGTAGTCTAAAATGCCTTAAACATGGATATAAACTGATTTTGTGAAACTCCATCTGAAACCCTAAATCTTAAGTAATACTACACCAAATTTTATAAGCTGCTCACATGACTTTTTTAAGTTTTTGTCATAGTGCTCATGTGCTTGCTGGGAAGAGACAGAGAGGGATGGAAAGTGAGGGCCATGAGGTAGAGGATGGCCATACCACAATCCCTTCTCCTCCATTCTCCTGGAATTTGGGGCATGCCTGCATGGCATGAGTCTCAAGTCACCAGGTCCAGGACTTGAACTATGCTTAGTCATGTGGGAATCCAGCACCTTAACCACCATGCCACCTACCGGCCTCCTAAAATAAACTTTTTTTTTTTTAATATACTCTTTTTTTCTTTCTTTCTTTTCTTTCTTTATTTTTTTTCTTTATCTTATTTATTTTTTTTGGAGAGGTTTTTTCGCCATAGGGCGCATGCACTCGCCAGACAGACAGAGAGAGACAGAGAGACAGAAAGCGAGAAATCACCCCCCGGGGCAATGTCACGCCACAATCCCTTCTCCTCCATTCTCCTCTCAGGATCTTGGGCATGCATACACATGCGCCCAGCGTGAGTTTTAAGCCACTGGGTCTGGGACGTGAACCGCAGTCGACTATGTGGGAGTCCAGCGACATAGCTATTACGCTAACTGCTGGTTCCCTAATATACTCTTTTTAAAAGAAAGTATTATATTTGACTTTATTTATTTATTTATTTATTTATTTTTGACCAGAATGGGACAGAGAGAGAAAGAGAGAGACAGAAAGAAAGCAAATCGCCAGGTCTGGGACTCGAACCATGGTTGACCATGTGGGAGTCCAGCGCCCTTAACCACCACGTCACCTGCCAGCTTCAAAATATACTTTTTTGGGGGGGAGAGGTTTTTGCTATAGGGTGTGTGCGCTCGCCAAAAAGACAGCAGGACAGAAAGCAAGAAATCATCCCGCCCGTGGGGGATGGCCACGCCGCAATCCCTTCTCCTCCATTCTCCTCTTGGGATCTTGGGCACGCATGCACATGCTCCCGGTGTGAGTTTAAGCCACTGGGTCTAGGACTCGAACCGCAGTTGACTGCATGGGAGTCCAGCGACATAGCCATTATGCCAACAGCGGGTCCCGCCAAAATATACTTTTTAAACACTATCTTGGTAGACATTTAGGTATTAAGGCAAGGAAGCAAAGTTTCACCTTTAAATGCAAATCATCCTTTAAGTTTTTCTTTACAAGTAGTCCTCTCTCTCTCTCTTCCTCTCATATGTATGCACTCTATCAGCATGAATAAAGAAAGTCATTTTCTATGAAAGAAGAACTGAAATATGTAATTTAAGATAATAAGCATTCAGATATAAATAAACTCCTAGCAAATTACACTCTAAGTGAGTACAGCTTATCCTTGACTTAAGTAATGCTTATAAAGCAGTAATAACTTAAATAAAAGCAAGTTGGATTAAGTATCAAATTAAGAAAATAAAGTTTAACCTTCTAACCTACTATTACCTTCCTCAATTTCTATTCAGATAAAAATTTGGTATCTAATTGGACACCTAACATATCTATGGACATGTAAAGGTCATTTCAACACGCTGCGTAAGTGTGAAGACCCAATTCCTTTCCTCTGTGTTTTCTCAGTCATCGCTGTTAAAACAAATGCATTTTAAAGCATGTGCTTATAACAGTTAACATATTCAGAGTTATGTTACGTTATGAACCAAAATTAGTGTTGACATTATTGGTCCTGAAAATATTTAAAGTCAGTATTGGCATCTCTTTTCCTTGTTACAAAAATTACTTTGGAATGCAGGTAGTATTAAACTCAGAAATATGGAAAAACTGAAGATTTCCTTGGGAGGAACCATAACCATACTCCTTGACGGTTAAGAATTCAGTTCTATTTTTCTTTTCTTTTTTTTTTTTCTAGATTTATCTAACTTTTTAAATTTTATTATTATTATTATTTTCAATTTGCTATAAGGCATGTGTACTCACCAGCAAGAGAGAGAAAGTGAGAAAGCAAGCCACCAGGTCCAGAACTAAAACCACAATTGGCCGTGTGGGAGTCTAGTGCCTTAACCACCATGCCACCTGCTGGCCCCAAGTTCTATTTTTCATTACCTACTCTGAGTACCAACTGAGCAATAAACCTATTTAACTTTCTATATCCTCTGTACAAGGAAAAAATGAGTCAATCTTTTTAAAATTTAAAATTCTCTAATATTTTATGTGAAGAACCCAACAAGGAGAACACAGTCAAGTATTGCTTCAATTTTATCTCCTAGTCCATACATCAAACACATTCTGAAATATGGTTTTAGAGCTAACCACACAGGGCCAGC